TTTTAAATAAAAGAATTCGATTAAAAGGCGACTATTTTGCTTTTTTTGTTTTACATGAGCAGAGCAACACTTAAGATTAAGCCGAAATATCGAAAATCATCAAAACCTCAGTGCTTATTTTTGTCTTATCATGGCATCAACTTCAAGTGTTCAACAATTTTTTTTCTTTCATTCGCAGCACCTTAAATCTTTTAAATTTTTTGTAGCCTTACATTTAATACCTATAATCTTCAAAGCAAGGTACCCATAATTGAATAGAAATATTTAGTCATGCATTTAGATCTATGCATGCTTTCAATGCATTTAGTTATCGTCAACAATATGGCATATATGCATTCAAGTATGCAAGTGTTGTCACTTCGCGCAGTTTACGTCAATTGTGACAAGTGCACAAACAAACATCATGCTAGTGAAATGAATGCTGGTTGGCTATGCTTTTTTTTTTCTCATGTTCTTGTCAAAAAACAATATATTCAAGAGCAGAACTGATGAATCAAATTCTCAACAATCTTGACATAATGAAATACAGTAAAAGATCTTACATACGAATGAATACAAATCTTTGTTAGACATGCTTTCTGAACTATTTTTTATTGTTAATTATTCTTTTTCGATCGTGGCTTCGATTATCGGCTTGATTTTTTGTTTTATCATAATTTTCATTGTTGTTTCTCATCGATCATGTCGCACAGTTACAAACCTTCTCACATGTAATACAAGTATGACTATTATATTATATTTCATTAACAATTTCATCGAATCTATTTATGGATTTCGTGAAGATTGGGCACAAAACCAACCATTGTGTACTGTTCGAGTATATTGTGCTCTTATATCATCCGCCCGTCATTGTTACTCGTATATGCTACAAGCCGTCAGCCGTCTCTTTTTGACCATTTTTTATAAACACAAGTATCTTGCTACTTATCGTGTTCATTGGTGTATGGTTGCTTCGAATTGGATTATCGCTATATTAATTTCGACAGTACTATTATATTTTGATGATGCTATGGTATATGAAAAGGAATCACGCCTTTGCACACTCAGTACTAAAAAATTTTTGTCGACAATGTTTTTTGCGATGACTGCATTCGTGACTCCACTTAGCGTTTCAATCACTGTTTATACCACAATATTATATTATGCTAGATCATCTAGACGAGTGGCTACTTGTGCTTCAAATTCCACGAATTTTCGTATGCCAAATGCTAAACGTGAAATCAGACTTGCACGAAATATGGTGATGTTACTGGGAATTTTTGCAGGTGGAGGAACACTCTGCTTGTTTCTTACTATTTGGCGGGGCCTACAGCCAGAGAGTACACCGCCAGAGCCGCTTTACTTAGTAAGTATTAACGCTATCTCACTATTTACTGCTCTTATGATGGTCGCACTATTTAGCTTGAACAAACAGATGAAACATATTTGTGTCGGTTATTTACCATGTGGGCGCACACGTATTATGCCATTTTCGATCAACGAACAAATGACACTACGAGTCACTAAATTCTGACATTTTTTTTAGAAAGTCGATGAAAATATATGAAACATTTTTGTTTTGCTTCTTCGAAACTTTGTGCTTTGAGCGTTTCTATAATAAAGTTCAATATATCATGAAGAGATTATCCAATTATCAAGTCATACACTACGTCGAATCGATAATTGCAAGTTCAAAATACTTGAGTGACACACCGAAGCATGAATGTCAGTTTGATGACTATTTATCCCTCGTTTGTTTAAAATACATACTTGAGAATATAGATAGGATTCCACAACGACAAGTAGACAGAAGAAATCGATACAGAAAGATAGTAAGAATTCCTAGAAGGAAGCGGCAAGTGATTGTACACGATACAAGGATAGAGTATAGTTAACTACTGAGGAAAGAAGAAGAGAGAGAAAAAATGAAATAAGCACGGAGTAGAATCAATAATTGGACAAAGTCAAGAGACG